AATTCATTTACGGGTACTTCCTCTATTATGCCCTCTTTGAGCCATTCTTGGAATATATTTTCATACTCTTGGCGAAGATTATCTATTTCAAGTTGCCTAATCGTACCGTGCAACCTTTTAAGCGATAACTCAAAATTATCCGACAGGGGAGGGTGCCCTTCCAACCAAGGCAAAGACACTACAAAGCGGTTCATCTTCTATTTTTACAGTATCAAGAAAATGTTGCCTGGTAGCCTCATACAATTCCAATTTACTCTTTTGTTCGGATGGGTCCGTAATACCAAGCGAGTCGAGGGCCCATAAATCAGAAATACAAGCCTCTTTATTCAACATTGAAGTAACTAAGAATGTTGAACCTTCACTATTCAACTCCCCGGTTTTTCCCATAACCGTCCATCCTAACTTTGTCTCAATAGCTACAAGACCGTTTGAAATTTGTTTACGATTCCCCGTTAATAATCGTCCTGCAACATCGGCTCCTATTAAAATTTCTATAGGTCCTTCTAAACGATCTGTTAAACTTATTCCACAGTCAGCAAGCTCTTTAAGCCATATTCCTTGTCCAATAGAAGGTATACTATTACAAATAACAGGCTGACTTAACGCATCAAAATTACAACTGTACGAGCCAGACATATTAGATAAATGAATTTTGTAAACTTTATGTTCACACAAACTGGTCGTTGTACCGCCAAATAATGCGTGGCTAAGGTATTCCTTTACCGTATACCTGTAACCCATATCTTGAGCTGCGCTTTGCAGAATATGACCTTTGAGAACCAGCATCAATTATAGCTCGAGCCGAACGAGATTTTTTATCTCCTTTAATTATTACTCTTATTGTTTGCAGCAAAACTTTAGGAGACCTTGAAGAAATGTTGGCGAGTGTTTCAGCCTGATTTGGAGGCTGTTCCGTTGCCTTGTCTCACTCATTTGTGAATGGCCCTTACATAGAAAAATATGATGCCTTTTGCCGCATGTAAAACAAACTGTTTTTAATCTACACCTCCTGACAGAATGTCCAGATTTCAGACACAGATAACAAGAGCGTGTCCTTTGGACCAAAACTTCTCTTTCCTGACAACGATAAGTTACGCGCCTGAAAACATTCCGCAGAACCATGATTTATACTGGAACAAAATATGCAGCCTTTTCTAGCTTCATTAGAAGAAGTAAACAGTTCAGCTGCCGTAGGTTTTAAGTGAGGTTCTCTTATCTTTAAAACCCGAATTCCTTTCTTATTACCGTGAGCCAATCGATCGAAAACATTGAAAGATTTAGCTGCTAAAGAAATTCTTTCCTCACTTTCAACTTCACCGCGCAAGAAACATAAAAGGCGCTCAAGGTCAGATTCCCTTTCTCTTAACTCGGCGTTTTTCGCCGGTTAAACTTTCTGATCCTTTACGCGAAAACCTAAGTCTCTCCCACGTTTTTAAGACTTCATTCGGCAATGCTGATTCTACCAATGGATATAATATCGCGCAATATTTGCCTCTATTTATTCCCAATATCTCCAAGGCTCTTAGATTAGATTCGAGTTCATCGTATAGTTTCCGCAAAGAGTGTGTACCTTGTGTTTTTGAATAACAAGGGTTAGCAAATCACGAATATAAATCTCCGTTAGTAATTCTTTGTTACCAAAACGCGTCTGCAATGCTTCGATTGCGCTCTTGTAACTATCGCCAGTTGGCGGAAAGCTTTTAACTATTTCCTCTGCAGGAGAATTCTTCTCCATAGCCTGTGCTAAATAAGCAAATTTATCATTATTATCTAATGTAGGATCTTTATCAATCTTTTGGAATTGCCCCCAAAATCCTAGCCATTTCTTCACGTTGCCGTCAAAGATAGGCAATTTAATCTTCGGATAATGTAACATTTTATTCTGAACAAAGGACGGATCAATTAAAGTTACATTCGGGGTTCCAGAAGTGAGATCTTTTACTTTACTTTCCAGAAGTCTCCACCTATCAAAATATAATTCAGATTCATCTATTTCCTTAATAAGTAAAGTCTCATCTGTAATTTCTTTAAACATTAATTCTCGTATTTTCATTTCAGTATCAAACAAAACTTTAGCTTTCTCGGCAATAACTTTTATTTTAATTAATTTTTCTTCCTGATTAAATTTAGTTTCTTCATTGTCAAATTCATTACAAGCTTTACTGAATAGTCTTCTATATTGAGTTCTTGCTAATTTTAAAGCTTCCATGATTCAAAAATAAAAAAGTCGCTTACCTTGCAGACAATATCCTGTCGCTTGATGCCAAATGTTGATTTTTTCCGATAATAATCCTATGTGCTATATCTGACTTCGAATCTAAAATTTTCTGAAGAACACAAAAACCTTGTCTAAAACTTAAAGGTTTATTTAACTGGAACTTCAACACTGATGAAAACTTAACATCACAAACAAAAACTTAACATCTTGGGTGGAAAAACTTCAAAGTGCTTTAAAGTAACAGCTATGCCGGCACGGTGAAGAACACTTTCCCCTAAAAAGACAGAATCCATCTAGCCTTTTCGGCGTATATCTCCATTTCGCTGAATTCAGACATCCGCTCCTACGTGTTTTGGACTTAAACGGCCAGGCTGGAACTGGAATAGTACTGGATCAGGACCGGAACTGGACTGGAACAAGACGGGAACCGGAACAGGACTGGATCCGCAACAAGACGGGAACCGGAACAGGGCGGAACCGGAATCTCTCATCCCCTGGCTTCTCCCCGGGCAGGTCTCTTCTGGCTCGAACTAAAAGGAACTGCGGTGCCACTAAGGAAAGCACCTCCTTTTATTGCCGGCGGTTGCCGTTACTACAGGCGACTTATGCAAATATTTAACAGTGTTTGTTACAAGTACCCTTTTTCTGGGTCACCTTCGAAACTTTCATTTGGAGTTGTTGTTGCTTGATCAGATTTCCTTTTTTGGACATAGTAGCGAGGAAAAGGAAATAAATACATACTGAAGAATATCAGTTAACACAGCAAATTGTGTTTTAACCTAATTTTTTAATTTGATCCAGCTAATTTATTATTTTTTGCAGACTACTATTATTACAGCTATCTTACCAAAATTCAAGTTTGTATTTTCATTTATGCTGAAAAAAGTTTCTAATTCTGGAGTCGTAGCAGGATCTGTACAGAGAAAGCAAGTTTGGCACTTGCCTTTAATGGAAATCCTTGGTGCAATTTGGGTTTAAAAAAACGAGATTTCAAAATTAGGTAAAAAAGTAACTTTAATTTAAAACATATTTTAAATTCTATAGGAAAGCAAATTTTCAAATTAATGGAATTTATGAAGAAATATGGAGAACTGATAATAAATGAAGATGATATAACGCAAGTTTTTCATTGCGATACAGTGCTCCAATCAGCAATCAACTAATGAATGATTAAATCTGTCATATGGTTTTAAACCCAGAAAATACCACTACCAGTACTGAAGAAAATGACAAAGAGATTTCTGAGAAGTAAGAGATTTTGATTGCCATTAAGAATTCTCAACATGGCAATTACATAACCTGAACAATGGAACTTTTGGTAAATGAACAAACAATTATGTCCATCCCAAAAATTAGTACAAAATTACTACAAAAAATGAAGCAGCTTAAATTAAACAACTAGATTAAGAGAGATGTTTAGTAAAATAAACAAGTAAATACTAAGCTTCTTTGGAGAATTTTGATTCCCTTGAGGTCAAAAATGCTTCATTATTCAAACAACTACTTATTTTTAATGTCATAATTTCTCTATGTTATCTCATTAGATTTAAACCAATGATCTAAAATCCAGAAGTTTTTGAAATTCAGACTTGCTGAAGTCTTAATGATTCTGGAACTCAGACTTTGTGGTAGATATTGTTTTTTAAATGTAGAAAAATCACCCAATTAATATCTTTTTAACATTCTTGTTTTGAAGTTTGTTTTATAATCTATGAAAATTTAAATACTTTGCAACTCAACTGGTATAATTTTAGATGCTGAAATTTTAAAATAATGGACACCAAGCAGTTGAAAAAAATAAGAATGCTCTTTGAAATTCTGCCAGAAAGCAGACATGTTGTCAGTGCAATTTTCATTTGAATAAGCCAACTATGAATTAATCAGTTTAAGTTGTTAAGGTTTTGTCAATCTCCAGGGGGTGGAGGGGACATTAAACACTACATAACCTTAAAGAGCATGGGTTCTCAACTGGCGATATGCAAAGATGCAAAGTATTTTTAACTATTAAATTCAAAAATTAAAACCCCAACATCCTGATTGAGTTTTTTTCTAACACACATAAATTGATGTGATCTGAACTTAGTTCAAGAGTGGTGGTGTTGTAATAGTACTTTGTAGTGGTTGTACTAAAGGTTTTAAATTTTTTTTTTTTAGATGGTACGCGTTAGTCGAAAGGTTGAGAACCGCTGTTAGAGAGCATTTTGAAATAAGTTTGGAAAGACAGTCCTACAGTTAGGCGGCGAAAAATCCCCACAGAGCAGACATGTTGTTAGTTGATGGCTAGTTTTTAACTGAATTATTCCACACATTAATTTGATAAGTATTTGTTGACCTCAGGGAAAGGGGGGACATTTCAAACAACATTTTTAAATAAATAAAAAATAAAGACACAAATTGAGAGTTGCAAATTTAAAAAAAAAATTATTTATCTGCAAGAGTGACAATTCAAAACACCCTACTGTTTTTACCACTGGCAGCTTCCTGGAGTAGCCAATAAAACTAAACATGTTTAAAATTATTTTTAAATGTTTTATCTACCTAGAAACAATGTACAGGATATACTGAAATAAAAAAATTATGAATAGAAATTTTCAGCAATCCTTTAAATAAATGCTTGCAATCCAAGGATTGCACACTACGAGTAAATATTGAGTTTTTCCTCTCCAATGCCTTTATTTTTAATATGATGTAAACTTAATTATGGTTCCATCCCCAGCATTACCATAACAGCAAACCATCTATTTTTTCTTTCATAAATTCCAAAATAGCAACCAAGCAAAAATACAATCAAACAATGAGATTAAAGTTTTTTTCTTTTCTTTAAAAAGTCAATTATTAAGCAAAATCTGTTTATTTGAACATATTCATCAAAAGAAACATGCAGATTTCATGTTTTTCAGGCCTACATTTATTATACTGTCTTTAAAAATTTTGACATCAGTACAAATACTGAATATTTGGTGCTACTAAGAAATGAAGAATAGTTTAAATTTTCATGAAATATATAGAAAGTCAGGAGAAATATACATTTTTGAAGCTTTTACATATGAATAAGCTTACGAACATTAGTATTCCAAAAGATGAGCATTAAGTGATTGCACTTACATGTGATACGGTCCAACTAAAGAAAAGTCACTTTCCGATAAATAGATAACATATTTCCTTATAAGATTCCGGTGCATAATATTTTATGTGCAGAACTGAATGAAGTGGAAAGATGGTAAAATTTCCTTACTTCTATTTGTAAAGATAAAATTCATTCAAACTATTACTTTCCAGAAAGATCTGTCTTGTCAATCTTTGTCCAAATTGATTCCATTTTGCACGAAAATCTGACTAGGCCCCACAAAATTTCCAATTTGTAAAGAAGGACTGAGGTAAAGAGTTCAACAATTACAAAAATTATCACAAACATTGAGGGGCATAAATTCGTACACAGTTAAAATAAATCTATGCACAAAATGCACATATAGTAGGGCAGCTTCTTAGAATACAAAAAAAAAAACAAGTCTGTCTTCACTCAAACTCTACCACTTTGTTCCATCCTCTTTGTCCATCTTGCATGAAAACTGAGGATGTTCAAAATTATAGAGCAAATCACAGGGACAATTCCCTCCCCATTTGTCACTGCACAAATGTCAACATGCAAGTTCCCCCCTTCACTCTGGGCTTACTTGACAAATATACGTAGGAAGGAATATTCCACTCAGGAAGGAGTTTATTTGATAGCCAATTTCCATTATCTCAGCCTCTTCCTTATCTTTGAGAATGTGGATGACCTGATGTAGCCATTGTAGCATTCTGGTGTTGAAGACTGCTATTATTATTCAAAGGTGGTGATGTGGAGAATGCATAAGGACCAGAAGATGCTCCAGTAACTTTTTCACTGGCTGTCATTTTTGAGAAAGCCATGAGAGTATCAGGAAAGTTAGGTGGTGTGGCAGGTGTATTTGCTGGAGTTATCATCTAGGGAATGGAAAATAATATGTCAAATATATACAAAGAAATATAAGAAAAAGGCTAATAAAATTCTACGTAAATAATATTATTGTTCATATGTAACACTTTTACAATACAACTAATATGTTGCGTGTGTGTGTGATTATGGCAAAGCCTCGAGGGCTATCTGCCTAAGGGGAGGGATGCCTTCGTGGAGGACTTTCTAAGGGAAACTGGCTCGTATACACGTTACACATGGGGAAAACCACGAAAACGCCCATGCAGCCAGCCCGTTCGCGGGATTCGAACGTCGGACCGGACTACCAGTGTTCAGCGACTTTTACCGCTCGGCCGCTGGTGGGCACTAATATGTTGCAAAAAGTGTTATTATACACCCCTGTAAAGAGTAGAAATAATGTTCTAGAAAAGAAAATTATGAAGCAAATATTTAACTTTTAATCATGTAAATACTAATAATTATAATATTTTTTATAAAAAATTTCATTAATTTAATCACATAAAAATTCTCGACTTAGTGAAAATTAATGTAAATTACTAGATTCTATTACTTTTTATTTTTAATGTTAATATTTTAATAGTAAAAAGTTGCTTATAATAAAATCAAAAAGCCATGAGCAATACTTTTGTAATAAAATAAATGTATTGGACATTAGAGGTCAGTGAATATTTGCAAACAGCATTTCAAAACATACCATTAGAAAAATACTTCTGGAAAGCATGGTTCCTGAGAACAATTTAATTTACATTGCATATGTATATAATAAAATCAAAAAGCCACGAGCAATACTTTTGTAATAAAATAAATGTATAGGACATAATGATGTTTGAAATCTACCAGTTAATAGAGTTGGTGTTTACGTTTACAAGTTTTGATGACAACTTAAACAAAGAAGTGTCATGCTATCTTTTATTATATGTAGATTCAAATTTATGAAATGTTTCCCTAAAGTATAAAGGAGTTAACATGCAATGAAGTTAAAAAAGACTTTGGGTTTCCAAAAACAATGTAAAATATTATTTGGAAAATATACAGTTGAAACAATATGAAAATGTCTTATAAATCATTTAATATTTCTGGCCCACTTGTAATGCCTACAAAATAACTTAAAAATGAAATAAATAAACTAAAACATGCTATAAATGCATATGCTGGAAGATAATGCCTATCATAAAAAAAAAAAAAAAAAAAACTAGAACATTTGATTTCTGGCATTTATTCTTAAATCTATGCTTTATGACAAAGAGTATCTAAATTCATTTAAAACAGAAATAAGTATGTAGCTTTTATGTTTCATTTTACTTTTCCAAACTGCTTTTAGATACACATACAAATCTATAAGCAAGCTTGTTTGCTTTAAAAATTAAATCTATTAACTTTCAAAACTATTTCACATACACATACTAAAATTAATAGGGTTACCAGACATTCAGGATTAGCCCAGATAGCCTAGAATTTGTAATTACATGTGGAGCTGTATCTTGGATTGAAAATTGTCTAAAATTTTAAAACAAGAGTGATTGTGGGTCAAGATTATTAGCTGAGAATATCAGTCAGTTTTATATACTTAGTACTAGTACAATCTCAGAAGAAGAATAAAAATGCAAAATTTCAATAAATACAAATTATTTGGAGAATGATTAACACTAAAACATTTTTCAAGAAAAGAATTAAATTCTAAAACTTTAATGACTGAATGGTTGCCTTTGAGAGCTTCAAATATATTTTTAAGGTACTAGTAAGTTTGCCATATGCTTACTAAGTATATCAGCTCTAAAAGAAAAGTTTTCCCCCTCCCAACTTTAAACACCATTTAATCTTCAGAACGTGATTGATTACAGGTGTCAACAGAAAAAAGGATTTTTAAGTTCTAAATTATATCACAAATACTCACGTAGTGAATTTTATGAACATGTAAAATATAGCAAGAGTTCTCGAGGAAAATGTTATCTAATAAAATGTAAGAGGGGAACAGAAACAAGAATTCAATCATCCACATAAACTTCACAGTAGACATGCTACAAAAGGCATGAAATCTACTACTCAACTTCTCGAATACTTTATCATCTATCTAACAAGAACCTTGTTTCAACAGAAACAAGAATTCAACCATTAAAACCAATTTCACAGTAGACATGCTACAAAAGTTATGAAATCTATTACTCAACATCTCAAATATTTTATTGTCTTTCCTGTGTCATTCCCTTTTATTCCTTTACACAAACTTTTATTTTTCCTATAGTCTTGTAAAAACAATTATGTTATATAGTTTAATCACTGATTATTATTATTATTATTTTATACTGTGTCCTGGAAGTGGGGTCTGGCAAAAGTTTTCCAAGCAATGAAATAGCTACATCAACAATGGAGACAAATAATTGCATTAATAATTTTTGGTACTCTTCCCTTTTGCACCTGCCAAAAAGCACATATAAAACAGATGCCAAACTCACACCCTAAAACTCATCAACAGCATCTCTACAGATGCATAACTGAAAAACACAAATTTTTATTTAATTTTGCGGTTCACAAGTAAATTATAGGATACAATTAATTACTCACAACAAAAACATGTGTACAATACATGTATTGTGTGTACACACTATATGTGGATCAATACAAAAATATATTTTTACATTCAATTTCTTGTGTATGTGTGAGGAAAACACCCATGATCCTGGATTTTCATAAAAAAAAAAAAAAAAAAAGTAACCCTATATATTATAGTGCCTAAAATGTTGCCCATCAATATTTGAATAGATAAGAACACTCAGCACTAATAGTCCATCTTGGGTTTATCTCCTATCAAACAAACAAATTTACCATGAACAAAAGACAGTTGGTATCAGAAAAGCTCCTTGAAGTATTTCCCAAAACAGACTGCAACAACATAAAACAATAAAATTAACTTTCACATACTATAATATTGATCTGCGATTTGTAATGCTTAACAAAATGTCATATTTATCTAAAAACATTTCCCAAAATAGCATTATTCTTTGTTTTAATTAACAATGCTCTTCTCTGGACATTTGCAAATGCCCAAGGCAAATTAATAAATATTGAAAATTAAATGCAATAGGTTTCAATGTCATTTGTAGATCTATAAAACTATAATTTAAAAACAATTTCCTTATTATTATTTGCGTATGACGTTATTCCAATACTACAGACCACACATAATTTTTTCCCTTTTTCTGCAAAAATTTTAATGAATTACATATCCTTTCTTATTATGCGCTGAAAATAATCTTATAACAAAGACAAAAACAAATAAACAACTAAATGTCATATTTTCTATAGCTTAAACAACTTAAAATTTACTAATTTTGAAATAATATGCTGCTGCCATTAATAATATGAAAGTAATTGTTCTTCTCATGACTAACATACAAAATATATATATATATATAAAAAAAAAAAAACCTATTACTGTTATTTTGTTGATCTTCCATATATCTCAGAAATATTCACTTATCATTGCCTAAGCATAAATATACCGTAAAGAGCAAAATAAATTAAATGATATTAAGATGCATATTCTAAACATTTTATGAATTATTTAATACTAATCAGAACATAACTCATTAAATAAAGTAAAACTAGATTCCCATCCTGTACTTAACTCAGATTTAGCATACTGCCCAATATGTAACGAGATCTCTGCAATTTGAAAGGGAGATGGCAAATTTTATCTAATGCACATTTATCATTAGAAATCTGTGTAATATTTCAAAACCTTCAATAGAAATTTATACATACTTACAGTCTGTTACCCTGGCACAAAAAATGCACTTTCAAAACCTGGCTAGAGTTATTCACCAGTTTTAATTAATTACAGTAAGCGAACATTTGTATTACCAAAATTCCAGTATTAATATACATTTAAAATACGATGTATCAGAAAGAAACAGAACTATATAGCATAAATATATTAAAAAAAAATGTGGGAAATAATAAAGTTCTAATCAAGTAAAAAATTATTAAATTAGTGGCTCATTAAAAAGATGAAAAAAAATATTCCATTACTTTACAAAATTTTTTATTGTGCAATAAATGTAACAGAAACGGAATATAATTCAAATACTACATAAATCAAGTGTTAGAAGAATGAAAATAATTAATTTTTTAAATCTATTGTACATAAATATTCTTTTAATAAAGCATCGCATCCTATCGATTTAATAAACAAATACGCGAGCCCAAAACAATAACGAACTCAAATCAGGAAGTAATTTTTTTATTATTATTCTTGAGACAGGAAGGTCAAATTACGTAAGACAGTTTTTAGTAAAATTAAAATGATATTCAGGTACTTACATTTACTGAGTTGAACCGGCCGTTCTGAGTATGATGGCAATTAGGCACTGTTGCTTCTTGAAAAAAAATGCTAAGCGCCGTCTGTAAAAGGAAACAATCTATTCAAAGTGTACACACTCAAAAAAAGTAATACAAATACGAATAACAATGCGAACTGCGCAACACAATTTTAAAACAGCTGAAAACAAGTACCGATAAATAAAGGAAATACCTTAAAGCTTAACTAACATTTTTAGAAGACACCAACATTACAAAGATAAGCTTTGTTGTTGTTTGAAAACATACCTCAAATTGCCAATGAGCGGCTTGTAAGAGCTGTTTTGCTTGATCTCTCGCACACCCAGCTGCTAAAACAAACTGATTAATCATCACTTGCTCCCTGAGAGATTCCATTTCATATGTTATTAACAACTTAATAAAAGCTGTTACACGGAATATACAACAAAGTATATACCCGCAAACGTGCTGATGTTTTCACTATGGCTGGTTGGTGATCACACACATTGACGTCACGTCCGTGTTTGAATAGATTGTATGGTTTTTGTCGGTAAAAAGGATAAGGGAGTAGATTACCGATCGGTACCTATTTAATTTGGCTTAGGTTAAAATTGAATATGTTCCATTGCAGTACCGGTTATCAAAGTCAAGCAATAATCGTAAACTTCAGTTCCTCACATAATTTATTTTTCATTATAAACAAACTCATCCCTTTGCGCATGCGCTTATCTAATGTTTACGTTTTATGTCTGTTTCATAATCGGAACTCCAGCCATCCACACTTATTACTAAATAATGTAACATTTAATAAATGTCATTTGAAAGCTGAATTCGATTAGTCAGTTATGAGCGTTACAGAGTGAAAATTTTAAACAGCGAAATACGTTTTCTAAATATTTAAAAAAACAGTGCTGACTTTCAAAATGTGACTGACGGAGGTAGGGGAAAAAAATCTAAACTTCAGTTTGCTTGCCATTTTAATTCTTGGAGGCACATTCATGGAATCAAGTAAACCTGCTAAAGTATTTTTTTTAAAGCATATCAATTAACCGTAAAATAGCAAACGTTTTGACAGCAATTATGAAAGGCTGAAAATCTGGCACTTCGCCAATATTTTCACCTATTCTTCAAGGGTCAACGTCAATGGAAAAAAAGAAATGGGGAATATTTTTACACTATTCCAACGTTGAGCGGTTAATATTAAATACTCGATATTTTATTTGTTACTATTAGTCACTTATGCAGCGACTCCCAAACCCACCCTAACCAACATAATTTAATTACAGAACATATTTCAATGTGCATATAATTAATAAGGTGTACGTGTGTGTAACATAATTCTTTAGTCAATAATATTGATAATAAAGTCGCAAAGAGGCCAAAAAGTTATATATCTATGTGTATATACTAGTTATTATTAATATATAAATTTCACATGTATGTTAAGATAAATTCATTACAAAAATAAATTAAGTAGCTTTAATTTTGTTGTACCTTTCTTTTCCTGCATATTCTTCTTCTTTTTTTTTTTTTTTTTTTTTTTTTTTTTTTTTTTCAAAAGAAGAATTGGCAGAACAGTTTTTATTAACATTTAACCTGAAAATCCTTTGAGTATTTAGTAGCACTTTTTTTTAAGATATGATCTATAAAATACTGCTGAAAAGTACATAAAATAATGTCTAGCATGTTAAAACATTCAAGACATAAATGACAGAAATTGTGTCATGACATGACACAGATTTAATGCTTCATTTTTAGATTAATTTTATTAATCTTGATGAACAACACTGATAAAATTAATCTACTTTTAAGTGATTTAAAGATAGCTTATCACAATCATAGTTGCAACAATGGTTATTTACTTCTTAGTGTCTGAACAATCTTTTTGATTTTACTTTATTTTTAAAATACAGAGCATATCCCTTTTTTTTATACAAGTATGCTTCAAAACGATTAGATAACTAAATCTCTCTTTAATTATTGACCACAGACCTGTGATACCAATTGTGAATTAAATAAAGTAGACCTTTTTTAGTATGAAAATTTTGCTCATGTAATACCTTCTAATAAACACATATGAAAAACAAATTCTTATATATGATTCAGAGAAAAAAAAGCACTACTGAGAAAGGTGTTTTTAGTGTCCAAATTAGTAGGAAATAAAAATAAAGTATATACCCGCAATTCTCAATCAAAATTACCTCAGATATTAATACAAATTTTTAGTACCTCATACAAACACTGCTAAACACACCCATGCATGTTATGTTTCCTAATGCAAAATTTTGAAACATACTACTCACATTAGAAAAACATGTCTCAAATTTCCATTTACAAAAATGCTAAAATCTAAAATATTTTTAACTTAATGAAATTCTATTTTATAAAATTCCAAATCCATTTATCTGAAAATTTTCCTTTCTTCAGGTAAATAATATAAATCCCACAATTTTATAATCTTTTATATTCACAATTTTGCATATTTTTAAATTTTTCTCCCTAAATGATGGGTTGGTTATATGGTCGTTCTTGTAATTTTTCCATGCTTAATGTGAATAAAAACCAATTTTCCTTAGAATCTCCACAGAAGCATCGCTCTCCTTCAGTAGACAGCTCTCAAATGCTTTGTTATGATCCATTACAGAAACTAGACTAGACTAGAACAGTAATAAACAACTTACTCAATGCAGCTTTTTTCATATTTTTTTTTTTAAACTAAGAGATGTTATATAATGATAATTGCAATAGCCTACAAAACTACCTAATTTGATTGATTTCTGAAACTAGAACAAGAGATATATAACCAAATGTTGAGCAGAAATTTAATTAAGAATAATTTCGTAAAACATTCTGCATATATGTTCATATGTGACTTCTATTGCACTTACATGGTATATTAACAAAGGTTTTTGGAATGTTGTGAATAAAATATACTTACAGTTTTAATTGTCAGAGTGCATTATCCAGTTAAAAAGACAGCAAAGTGGAAAAACACAAAGCTTGATAAAAAATTTATTTAAATTTTCTTAGAATTCAACAATGCTGTAGATTTCTAATTACTTCTAAAAATCATATAATTTAAGAGCAATGTTGTTAAAAGAAAACATAAGTATACAAATTGCAATAAACATCCTTAAAGTGACAAAAAAGACATTGAAGAGATTTTTTTTTTAACAAGCAGTATAATTTTTAATTCTTAATCTTTTATCTCAAATTAAGAAAGCCTTTTTTCAACGTAAAATCATTTTTTCAGCATTTCAAACATAATTTATTATTTGTAATAATATAATGCAATATATGCATGAAAGACTTTTATTAGCTTATATCATTTGCCAAACAGTTGTCTAATACAAATTACAAAGTAATATTAACTAGTTCACATATTCTACGATTAAAATTCATACAAAGTATTTAGCTCAAGCAAGTATGAATGATGAAATCTAATGCAATTTTTTGTACAAGAAATCAAAATGAAAGATATATTTAATTAAAGGCATGGCCTCATCCATTTCTAGGCATTCTTTAAAATGTTCACATATAATTTCAATAACAATCTGGTAATTTCCTGTTAGTAAATTTATTGCTGGAAGCATGCAAGTTACTTCATGGCAGATTCTAAGAATTCTAAAATAATTTCATTAATCTATTCCTCATAAGCAGCAATCACCTCACAGATTCACAAGACAATTTACTGGAATGTCTTCTTCTTTTTTTTTTTCCTTAAATTTCTTTTTAATGCAATAAATGTTAGCATCTTAAGTACTTCATTCTAGTCCTTAATTAAATATTTTGACAATTTATGAAGTTAATTGTGAAAAAATTATGTTTGCTTTACCATTAAGTATGTAAAAGAATGATGAGGGCAAACTGAATTCATAACATGCACCAGTTTTCCATATCAAGTAGTCTGACAAACTGTTGAAATTGAGCTGTTAAGAATAACTAATAAATTTCACAGTTTGAATTTATCAATCAGCTGTTCACTATGTTTAGTTAATTCTTGTCACTTCATGGCTTAAACAAAAAGTCCATATTACTTATTTCAAATAACATTCATAAATGCTTACCCGAAAAAAGACCCACTTTCTTAATCTTTTTATGTCAACAAAACTGAGTAATATCAATTAGTTTTCCTTCTGTGATAATTTGTTTATATGCATTCAGGTAATGATGCAGAGGCAGCTTAACTTGCATATCCTCAAAAGCTTATTTGTGTCCTAGGGCTGAAGATTGCACAATGCATAACATCCAGTTAATATTTAGAAACACTGTAACAAATGCTATAAGATTCATTAACAGTTAAGCTTAGTTTAAATACTGTTCATGTCTTTTCCTCGATTCATGCCATATTCATTTAGCCCAGAAGATTTAGTTACTAAGGTTAACTTCAGTTCATGCCTAGAGAGTGAAAGCCATCTGTGCTCTATTGGAGAGTTACTGATTGCTTGTATCTGACAAAAGTTGTAGCATTTCCTGCTTCAGATTGATAAGAGAAAAGGGTTTTTGGTAACGCTTACTCAAAGACTCTTAATTATCAGTGTTAGTAGAGAAGAATTTGAACTATTGAACATTTGTTTGTTTGTATGAGTGTGTTCAAGCTAAACTGACACTTGTCAGGTAGAATCAAATAAAAGGTGTTTTTTTTTGGGGGGGCACCATAAATGGCATTTCACATTTCAAATTGTTGCCACCAAATATTAGACACCTGCATTATATTAAAAAAAACAGAAATTAATGAAGAATCCTCATAAATGTATGTACTTTTCTCATACTGTGAAAAAACAATGGTACCTAGAGACATCAAATTCTGAATAACATAGTCCTCCACTCAAATATGGGCATCTGGAAGCCCTAATTTGTTTTATTACCTATTTCATATTTTGTAAAATTTTAATGAATTTTTAATTAACAAACTCAATGATTTCAAAGTAAGCAATAACAACACTGTAAAAAAAAAAAAAAAAAAAAAAAAAAAAATTATCTCCAGTGTGCGAGACTGTGTATAAAAAATTCTAAAGATATGCTCTTTTTTAATTATTTTGTGATATTACTGTTGAATTGAATTTTATGGTTTAAGTGCGAAGAACATGACATTTAATGAGAAAAAGGTGACACAAAACATATTAAAAAAAAAAAAAAAAAACCTTTTGTATATAATATCAAATCTGAAAGCTTTCAGATCCGCCCCCTTTTCTAATTTGTTATTTGCATACTAGTAGACTGTAATCAAAGCAGTATCAGATCAGAGTAAAGAAACAGATCTGCATGAAGTACTGTTAGGTAGGCATAAACTTTAAGAATAATACAATAGAAGAGTTATTACATTTTTGGAATAAACATCACTAGTTATTTCAAGATTCTTATGTTATTTCGTTTCAAATGATCTCTGTATGAAGGTACTCCTAAGATGATTAGAAGTATGAAAATACAACTTGAATTCAGAATTTAGTCAATAATAATGAATTTTTTTGATTCAGATGCAAACCAGAGAAAAAATCCCAAGGTCACATGCAGTGAATTGAATTATCAGTTAGTCATCACTGATGTCTACTTTTTAAATTAAATTATACTAATTGCTCTAGCCCGTTAAAAAAATGTGTAAGCACATTTATTATTTAAAAATTTTTATCAGATAAGTATTGATTTTACTCATTCACAAATTTTATCCTCAGATGCAAGAACTTGAGAAAAGATATGAAGATCAGTTTCTATGGAGTGGAAAGAAGACCTTAGAGAATGCTCTAGAAGAAATAAAAAGTGGTAAGAAAGTAAAAAGCTCCGAAATAAAATTTAAAAAAAAAAAAAAAAAAAAAAATCAACACTGAAAGAAAAACTATTGGATTACAGTGCATTATGCTTATTGCTACCCCATATAACAAAGAACTGCATTAACGATTAATTTTACCATTTCTGATTACCTTCTCATAAAGTTTTAATGTTAAAGTTGCTTTGAGTTTAAATAATCTGTATTTATAACTGCATCAGGGTTGCTGCTTATTTCTTATTAAAAGCAAAATCACCAGAGTGCAGACACTTGCCTGGATTAAAAATTATTAAAAACTGCTATCATAATTTTTCAATTTTTATTACTATTTCTGCCAACAGATGATGCTTCTTTCTTATTTACTTTACTCCTTTTGCATATAAATACAGCCATGGCTTTTCCTTAATTCCCTATTTCTTTGCTCCTGCTGAATTGCCCCGGTTTGTCCTGGAAACTGATAGTGTTGACTAAAATTTAAGCCTACCACAATATTGTTGCTTTGCTAATTTTATTTAAAATGCTATTACTTATTAAAAGAAATTCAGTTCAAATTAAAAAAAGTTACTTATCGTTTAATTTAAAAATTACTTCATTAGTGTTCAAGAGCTGATACAAGTACAATGCTTTTCAAATGTTTTTAAATTCCTTCTTTCAATAAATGTTAAGACCATCAGTTTAGTTTTATATATTTTACTTTCTCAACCTATTAATTTGAATCTTGATTATGCTACTGGAGTATGCAGTAATAAATATATTATTACCTAAAATCATTAAGATATTTTTTGCATAATATATGATGAAAACTTGCATGTTAAATCCTGACATACGATTGTCAAAAATTTGATAAATCACAATATATTTTAGTGAACACAATGTTTTATGTAACAGCATTTTAATTACAAAAATACTCTGTGATACCAAAATAGTGAATTTAGCTAAAGTATATAACACTTCTGACAGCTATTTAATAAATAACAAGTAAAAATATCCTTTATTGAATAAGAAATATATTCAAATAATAAAATTTTAAAAATTTACTATTAAGAAAAATAAATTTAATTTAAGAGGACTACCTCTCTAAAATAATTATAACATTTTTAAGAATAATTAATCTATTTACTGACTTATCTTTATGAATAATAAATTCTCAAAAGAAGGTGTGTTACATATACAACTAAGGTAATAAATAATAGCTAGGAAATCACATCTTTAAATATAGCTCACAATGTACCAGTCTTATTTCAGAAATGTAATTATAATCTATGAAACTGTACCATGATGTGTTTATTAACAACCAGTAACTCATTTTTAATTACATTAGGTGTATTGTGATTTTAAAACAAATAGTAGTTTTATTTCTGAAATTTGATTATAATATGAAGTATCATGCCATGACATGCTTTATTAGCAATCTCATTTTTTAGTTATACTTTGGATATCATTCCAAAACCACTTCAAAATCTGTGTCATGCATTAATTCAGAAATTCATAACCAAAGATAAATAATCACATTTCTGTAACTTAATGCAATTGTGATATCATTTTTGAAATAAATAATGGCTTTCAAGACAGCAGAAAGAACAAACATATAGGAAACATGGTGCATTAATGATATATGTTAAGTCTTACTAAATAATTGTGAATATATGTACACACACGTTTAGCAATAATTTAAATAAAAAAATCAAAACCTATCCATTGACTTAATTCATATCTTAACTGATTGAATGATTTAAATTGGATTTCCATATGTTAAGCCAAGTGTGAGAAATTAATATATTTATGCAAAAACCTAATGAAGTGACATTTTACAATCTTATTAAATAACTGTGAATATATGTATATACATACACATGTAGCAATAATTTAAATAAAAAAATCAAAATTTATCCAATGACTTAATTCATATCTTAACTGATTGAATGATTTAAATTGAATTTCCATGTTAAGCTAATTCTGAGAAATTAATATTTTTATGCAAAAACCTAATGAAGTGACATTTTATTTTAAAATACACTTGGTGCCTCAATTACAAATTGTCTGTGCTCATGACATCTCACCACACATCTTTATTCTTTTCAATATGGGTTAAGAATAAGGAGCTAATGTTGATTCTTTTTGAAAATTACTGCATTACCTTCAGTCAAAAGAAAATTTTTTGCAAACTGTAGTGAAGATTATGTGTTTTTTGCAATTAATTTACTCTTATTAAAGTCAGTTGGTAGCTACGATGGGATACTTAGATATATCCTCTATTAGATATAGTGAAATTCCAACAAGAGTTCTTTATTATTTATAATGTTTACTTTCTAAAATATAAAAAAGTTTCATTGCATACAAAATTATATATTTGCATATCTGTTATGAACTTTGCTACCATTGTTTTATACATTTTTTATTTGAAAATTGACATCAGCTTCAATTTTTATCCTAAAAAATGCTGGCATTAATACAGCATTCTGGTATTAAATCAGTAACACAACTCTATGAACTTAAATAAATAAGAATGAAGTTATATGTACCATAAATATTAATTCCATTACTTTAAATAATAGTTTATGCCTCATATTTAATACACTAGTTTTATTAAAATTTTCTTTCATGTCAATTTGTTGTCCATGTATTTTCTTATTTATGATTACTGAACATATGATTTGATACTAAACTACATAATAATAATTTCAAAACCAAGTAGAACAAAATTCTAGCCTTTCATGTTTTTTTTTAGCCCAAAGGGCTATTAATTTTGTTTTGGCATTTTGCGTTGAAAACTTTAGAATGTTATATCACTTTTCCAATAGTTGCCACCAAATATTATCGACCTGTATTATATTTAAAGAAATTAAATAATGAAGAATTTGCATAAATGTATGTCTGTTTCTTGCATGGTAATAAAACTATGGTACCTAGAGCCACCAAATTTTGAATAATGTAATCCTCCACCCAAATATGGGCATCTGGAAGCCCTAATTAGTTTTATTATCTATTTCTTATTTTGTAAAACTTTAACAAATTTTTTTTAACAAACTCAACAATTTCAAAGCGAGCAATGGCAACACTATACAAGGGAAAAAAAAATTATCTCAAGCGTGCGAGATTTTGTATCAAAAATTCTAAAGAATCTACCCAATTCATAATAATACAGTCAAAGAATATGTTATTTCAAATGCACATAAGCATTATAAAATGATTTTTCCCATAACATGACATTGATATGCAGGCAAATTTTGATTACTTGAACTTCAATAATTCAAAATTTTTGATTAGTCAAATTTTCTCACAAGAGAATGTATTGAAAATTAATGCTAATTTTTCTATTACTCTAGATCAGGGGTGGCCAAAGTGCAGCTTGCGAGCCTGATACAGCTCTCGCACTCAATTTGAGCGGCTCGTGCATATAAAATACATGTACGAAATATGGTAAACTAAAACTACTCAGTGTCCAAAAAGAAGTAATTAGTTTATACTCTTTTTACAAAGTTATCAGGGATTTCTTTCTATTTAAAACCTCTTCCACTACTTCTATAATGATGTAAATATGAACTTGTGGCTTTTAGATAATCTAGATGCGGCTCTCGAACATTCCTGAATTCAAACGTGCGGCTTTTACTGACATGAAGTTTGGCCAACCCTGCTCTAGATATTTTTCTGCTCTTTTCGATTCCAGTTGTACGAACTAACTGTACCACCGATGAACTTATTAATAGCTAGAATACAATTTGGAAATCTGGCTGACATTAGTTTAATATATCAATAAACTATGATGTTTAATAGTAGATTTTAAGTGATAAAATTAACTGTTTTGGGTTGTTTAATTTTTTAAAACTATGATATTTATAAAAAGATTAATCCAACCTGTTTTAATGTTCTCCAATGTGTGCATACAGCATCAAAAATTACTGAATTTAATAGACGCCGATGAATTTTGTTATGGAAAAAGTAATGGCTCTCAACTGATTCAATTCAACAACAAATGCCTTTAACTGGTATTTACTACAATTCGAATACATAAAGATTTAAATGTTTCACTATTCTTAGCTGAGTGATTTTAATATAATTTACTGATGATTTCAAATTTTATACTTGCATTTTAGTACTGCAAAATATTTTTTTGTCTAACATATATAAGATTTGACTCTGAATGTGATATGTTGAAGAATTCAAATAAGAACACTTCATCTGGAGCAAAGCAATATAATTTTATGAAATGAATTTGAAAATGGCTGTTTACATTAATTTTTATTTGTCAATGAAAGCTGAAGATATAAATATACATTGAGTTGTGATGCAAAATACTGTAATGCTTTTAATGCTCATGCAAAAAGTTCCACAGTTCAAAGAATAAACTCCTGAATTTTCACAGACAGCGATTCAGCAAATATTTGGCATTACTCTCCATTTGTATACAATTTTTATAATCACAATGATGATCAGTGCATCAGCTATAATACATAAAAATGAAACTCTCACTATTTGTGACTACAAATCTAGTACAAAGACTTGTTCCTTGCAGAATATCTGAGCAATAAAATTCATATGAGAATGAAATAAAAATCTTGTGCTTGCTACAGAAGCAAACTGATATCCAACAAAAAAATCATTTCTTCTTCTTTGACTGGCCTGTAATTCCACGAACCACTGACATCACCTTTGACATGTATTGCTGGACTAAATTATGAGATTTGATACCAGGCATCAGTGACATGAAGAGAACTGAAATACAAATTAAAATTAGATAATGTGTAAATAAAGTTACATATATTAAGGCTGTATTTACAAACCTAAAATACAACCATAGTTTCAATACAAATTTAATGAAAAAAAAGATACTAATTGCTCTTTGGAAATTAGTTCCTCTTTGAAGTTCAACATTTTCAAAATATGTTTTATTAATTAATTTTTTACAGTGGCATTATGGATATTTATAAATTGGTATAAAAATATCAGGTGCACTTAACATAAATGTAAAATAAAGTCAGTATTCTAAATGAGGTTACAATGGAATCACTAAGGGAATTTCTTAAAATTTTAATTAACATAAAAGTACAGAATTAGCCTATATTACAAATAAATTTCACCATGTTTAATATTATATGGGAGATGAATAATGATGATAATATACAAAGTTATCACAAGAAAATCTTCAAGTCATTAAAGGTTACTAATATAACTAACATGCACACACTCAAGAGAGAAAAAATAATAAAATGAGTCAGAAAAGCAAGAATATACTGCTTGTCAGCTGCTAAGGTACATGAACACATATCAGACTGGTATACTAGCAGTAACCTTGAATCAGTTACTTTCTTTCAAATTTGATTAGCAGGGCTGTACTTACACTTGTCAAATAATATGTGCTTGAAATATCAGTGTCAATCCATAACAGTATTAAATGTGCAGGCCATTTTACAGTGTAAGAGGTGAACTAGAGGAAATTCACAAATTTATGCTGTTTATGGTGACTTTATAAGTTGACAAAATATGACAAAGTGATGCCACAAATTTTATAAGGCATGAGTAATATTCATGGCAACAAAGGAATGATAATCTCTTGACAACCTTCTTAACACATTATGAGCAGGTGCGGGTATTTGTACCCGTTTCGCGGATTGCCGTTTAAAAGTGGGGCAGGTATTAGTACTTGTTTAAAATCACCACTTTTAAGTGACACAAGGGAAAAAGTAATGTTTCATATAATGTATGGATTGGTATATTTTTATTAGAACAGATTTTTAACTTAGTCAACTTATTAGTAATCAACTTGTATAAATATCTCTTATGTGCCCAGACATCTACATATCCCTCAACACATTAGTTGATAACACTGCATTTATGAAGTTTCATACTACATTGTATATTACTATTATTCATATTACCGCTAAGCAACATGTTAGATAGACTGCACAAAATGGGTTAATGTGACCAAAGAACTTTATGTAAAGGATGTGTGACAATAAGGACTAGCATAAAACCTTTCTTCATGAAATAATCATGACTGAAAAATTCAGGTAATGAAAAAGATATGCAAGATGCAGAAAAAGTTATCAGAACAACATAAAAGCAAAATGGATTATCATTAAATTTTATACCACCCTATGCAGAAGACAATAAATTCCTAATTCCATGTGAATGGGGCTGAAACTTGATTTTATCCCCACATATTTGAATCAAAACAACAAATACCTTCTCTAAAACAATAAAAATTATAACTTCAGTTACAGCTTACAAATACGTGGCTTGAAAATTCTGGGACACAAGTGAGAAACTTCAGATTATTAATAAATTTTACAAATTTCTTTACCATCAGAAATGCTGTGTTCAGCGAACTGAATAACAATTCAACAATGACAACAAAATAAAATGGGAAATGGCATCATAGGAAACTTATTGACAAGGGAATACAAAAACTATTTTCCAGACTTAATAAACATTTGAAAAATGATAGAATAGTTTATTGAATATAATTAATTTTTCGATGGAAATTTGGTCTAATACAAAAGTATCTGATTAAATAGTGACTTATAAAGAAATCAGTATTTAATCAGGACATGCTTTGCATATTAAAAGATATTTTATTTAATAAAAATAGAATCAGATAGCATGCTGAGATTAAAAAAAAATGTTTTTACATTTTTCAAAATTACATAAAAAGAGGATATTATAAAAACCATTAAAATTCATATTAATTTTTACGTCATATCCAACAGCACACAAAGAAAAGACTCCTTCAAGTTGTTCTCAGTTCAGCTCCAGAACTAAAGAACTTTGAATACAAGCATATTTCATAGACAGAATGTATGTCAAATGTATTATTATGATATACTCTCCTCATTATCAAAACAAATAAAATTTATTTGACACCCAAAAAATTAAAAACTAGTAGGCTAATATATAAAAATCAAAATTAATACAGTACAAAGTCTGAGATCTGGATTTGTTGGGAATTTAGTGATTCCAGATATTAGATCATTGTTCAAGTCTAGTTGCATGGCATGTAGAAATTATGAAATTAAAATATTATAATGAAGCATTTATAACCTTAAGGGAGCAAGCCAAAATTAAAGGAAAAAAAAAAAAGCTTAATGTTTGTTTACTTTAATATACGTTTCTTTCAATGTAAGTTGTTTAATTTGGTTTCTTTTTTGTGCTAATACTTTCATACTTGGCAACCTATGACACTCAAAAATCAGGAGATTTTTCACAATGTTAAAAAGACCTTTTTAAATGATAAAAATATAGCTTTTAATAATGAATTAACTTTAAGTAGTAACTAATTCTTAAATGCAAGCAACATAAAAATACCTTAGACATAAAAAATTTTTTATTACACGCATCGTTTAAAAAAAAAAAAAAAAAAAAAAAGACACTTTAATCAGCTTTCATACAAATGTTATAAACAGTGGCAGATTTTGCTTTCTTTAAGAAAGAAACTTCATCATTGTGTTCACAGCAATTGCCACGTACGCCTGCTTTCGCTAATAAAAGTTTTTCTAATGTGCCATCTCTAATATTAGATCTAAATTTAGTCCTCGTTTTCGCAACAACACTGAGAATCCTCTCACACTCTGCATTACTATAGGGAACTGTCAAGATGGCCAACACAATTCTAGACAGTTCACTATATTTTAAAATTCCATCAGCACCTTTCAGTTTTGCAATTAAACTCCACTGGGTGTCAATCGTAGCTGATTTTATAACTTCATCCAAGTTTTCTAATAGTAAACTGCTGTTATGCAGCTGTTGGAACTGTTTCAATTTTTCCTTCCTTTTAGAACTCCTTTCAAGATAATGTGTTCATCCACATTTATTGGTAAAGAAGTTGCCCCTTTTTCAGCTGCTAAATTTAAGAGGTGACAGGTGCACCTAATAATCTGAAAATCTGAATTTTCCTTTCTTAAGATGCCTGCAACACCAGCCTTCCAAGCCTACCAATACTGGTGCATTATCGGCAGCAAGTGCTAAGCAATTATCCAGAGTGCCTGCAGTTTTCTTTTAAAGTTTTAACAATTAGCTGTGCTATATTAAAGCCTGTCAAATGTCCTTCTAAAGTGGGAACATAAAGTAAACTGCACTCAATTTCTGAAGACTCTGGATCAAAAAAAGAAACAACAATTGGATACAGTTTTGAATCGGTATTATTGCTTCCATCAGTAGAGAGGCAGACCGGAGCTGTTTTAATGCAATCAATAACTGAAGATTTATTTTTCAAACCCATTTCTTTAACAATTGCACCTGTTTTGATTCTTGCACCTTGAGTATTTCTTAACGATTTCACTATCGGGAAACATTTTTCTAAATAAAGCTGCAGCGTGATCCGATGCATTCAGTGGCAGGTTATGCTCCAGTAAAAAGGCAGAGAACAGACATTCTGCATTAATAACTTTTTGGTTTTTCGTTTCCGAAGAAAAATTTAATTTTTCGTTTTTTTCAAAACAACTCATGTTATCCTTGTGTTTTGTGTACGCACATGTTTGAGAACATCCGCCCTTCCAACATACGAAATCGAAAAATCGCAACGACAGGTGGTACATATCGCAAATTTATTACATTTCCTTGAGGAAATAATGGAAGGAAAGTCAACTGTGTACGATTTTTGAAACGTACACGAGTATTTCACCTTTCTCGCAGACGTAACAAAAGATGATAATTTCTAAAACTATTTCCCTAAGGCACGTGTACTCACACAACTCAGGACAAAATGAACGAAATAACTAAAAGAACGTCCAAATAACAACTTGCTTTGTCCTCATTGGCTAATATATGCCAGCTGACACGCAGTGGAGCTCGAAGCCCATTGGAGAACTGGAGAACGACGTTTCTGGATACATATAATGCTCTCACTCACAAAGCAGAAGCTATCTGATTCGCAAGGTTTTGTTTTAGATATAATGTAGAGAAAATTCAATTGCTTTCAGACATCCAAAAGCACTTCTTTTTATTCATATAACAAAGTATCAAGCCAAGTTGCATAAAAATCGTGAGAAATTTTAAGAATAAGAAAAAGTCGGGAGAAATATATTGTAAATTGGGTTGGCGGGAGAGCGGTCGAAAATCGGGAGAGTTGGCAACTCTGTACTTTAATTCTATAAATTTCACTATTCAAGACATGCAATTGCCATGTCGAGAATTACCACTAAATTGTCAGGTGAAGTTTTCTCTTTCTCAACATCATCTCTGTCACTTTCTTCACTATCGGTAGCAATATTTTCTGGATTTAGAACCATCCTACAGATTTTGCCATCCATTACAGTCAAAAGTCATTAATTCGGACACCCGTAATCCGGAATGATCTATAATCCGGACCTCAAAGCTAAAATCTTTCTGCGCATGTGCTGCATTGACGCATGTGCATAGGCGTTTTACTCATGCGCGCAAGACATTTACGACTGCGCATATGCATCTGCGCAAGTGCAGAATACGTTTTCGCGTGCGCGTTTAATGTATAACGGATGGTAAAAGCTAAAATTATCTAATTATCTATTTCAGCTAATGTTGATAATTGTGTTGTTCCTTTAATCTTCAAATTGGATCCGGCTTATTATTTTTTGCAGACTGTTAAGAGCAATTTTATAAAAGTAAGCTTGAACTTTCGATTATGTCAAATAGAATTTCCGATGCTGGAGCTCCCAAAGGATCTAGAAAACGAAAGTATGTTTCGATGTCCATCAAACAAAAAGTGGAATTGCTACAAAAAATGGATAAAAGCATATCCTTTGTTTATCTAACCGTTCCGAAATCTGTTTATCAATTTCACGCTGCTCTGCGTGAGGGGGGGGGCACGTCGCGGTGCGCAATGAACTGGAAGTTGATCTGTCAACACTATCGTTATCTTCAGGGCAGATGTTTTTATTTTAGTCTGCTTATAATTCCTTACTAAATGTAGTATTTAATTTCGATGTACTCCGTCTTTGATATGATTTAAATCAAATTCCTCGTCATTATAAATATCACGAATACAAATCACATAGTTTTCTGGTTGCAATTTTCTAATTTCAGCTATGAGTAAGGTATGCTTTACGCATCCGCGCGTTAAAAGAAATGTTTAATAAAGTAAACAAATAAATATTAGGCTTCTTTTTTGGTAAATTTGGATACCCTTTAGATCATAATTGCTCATTATTTTATAAATTACGGTTTCATATTTTTAATTTTATAATTTCTGCATGCCATCTTACCAGATTTAAACTAATGATCTATAATCCGGAATCGCCGAAGTCCCGACGAGTCCGGATTAAAGACTTTTGACTGTAGTTAATTGCAGCTTTGTCAACACAATGAAAAACTTTTGTAAGATCATCTTCATTTACAGCCAGTTCTTCACATATTTCATTAAGCAGAAAATTTTGCTTGTTGTTTACAAAATCTGAAAGCTTTCAAATTTGTGGTTATCATCATAAGAGCTTAATTAGCATCTGCTAGATACTATTGGTGATTTATCATAAGACTGATAACTAAAGATAAATTGTTCCACTGAATTTTGTTTTGCTTCTATTGCATGCTGACGAAGTTAAAACTTGAATCATATTAATTTAGTTAATACTCAAGCCTTTATCCCAAACATGCTTAAGACTTATTTGTGCCCTGAATAAAGATATTCACACATATACTGACACTACATTTTGCTGTCTGGTGCAATTATCTACGACTTGTAAATTATGCTTTGTAATGCCTGTCTAAATTTTAAAACTTTTACCTTCACTAAATCCTGCTGCAGAGGTTGCACCAGCTCCACAGCTGGCCCTATACTATATATTTTATGCCCCGGTGCAATTGCTGCTGTAAAGCTCTGCTGCCAAGCACCTACTTAAATTCTAAAAAAAATTTAGACTCTACATTTTGCATCCAGTGCATCCTTAAATTCTAAAAATTTTTCTACCCCTAAATTCTGTTGCCTGGTATGGTTGCACCAGCTCTGTCACCCATCCTGGGCTTAATTAATTTGTTATTTATCCCAATAAAACAGTACTAAATGTAATCTTTTGACCTACGAGTATAATTTACAAAACCTATTTTTTGCACATGGAATGAAATTTCCATTAAATTCCTCCTTGCCAACACACTCAATACTTTTCAGCAGTGTTAGCTTAAGTCTGTAATCATTCCCAAGTGTAATGTCAACATAAAATGCTCTTTGGTATTCAATTACTAATATTTATAAAAAAATTTTAAGACATTACTGCACGAATCATTTTGCAAAGCTGCAGCGCACAGACAGGCACATGGTGATAAAAGCAAAAAATATTAAATAATGATTTGCCAAGCTGGCATCAGAACCAAAATAAAATTAAGAATCAGGACTTTCCACATATTTTATAATGGAAAAATATCAAAAAAAGGCATAAAGAATAAAAAAAGTTCTTAAAATCTGAAGGTCTGGAATTTAAACCATTCCAGATTTCAAACATTGTACTGTGGTAAAATTAAAGTTCATATCCAGTTGTAGTAAAGTAAAATAAATACACTATTAAATCAATGCACACAACTATTGCATAGTTGAAATACAAAATTAAAAAAAAATCTGATGTGTACACCAGACACATCAGATTCTTATAGTCTCATATGGCTTCCTTGTACGGAATATTAAATTATATGCATTTTTGCTTGCATTTCATTTAAACTTTTCAGATTGAATTAAATCTACTTCGTCGATAGCGCATAACCCCCAATAGAATAAAGGCACTCTTTAAAATTCACTATATTTGTTTACCATAGCAACACTCTGGTGCTAGGTTCATTTAACAACGTTATATTTTGTTCACACTATAACTCAGAATGCACAAAATTTATATCATTTGAAGACTTATCTAATCATTGCCACATGTTCTATTCAAATACTGTAATAAATCTAGAATTATGTACAAAAAAAAAATTAAGCAAACAAAAAATAAACAGTTTTCCACAGACAATTCAGTATTTCTCATTCAATTAATTCAGTTCTCACTTCGCAACAAGGCAAAAATACATAAAAACTCAAAATATCTATATTAATAAATCTTAAACACTTAATTCCTCAAAAAAATTCTAGAAAGGATTAAGCATGATTTAATTCGCAATAATAAATGAAGGCGTTATCTTTGTTGTTGCAAAGCTTAGTCTCTCTAGATTGGCAACAAATCTACTATTCTGTTGTTTCAAATGTAAAAAAAAAAAAAAAAAAAAAAAAATGTCCACCATGTTATTTAAAAATTAGGCTTAACTGCACTTAAACAGCTTTTAAATTGTTGATAATTCTACAAATATTGCATGTAGATTTACTAAAGGCATAAAAACCTGAACCAGAAGATAAGAAAACATAATTCAACCATTTTTAAAGGAAAAAAATGCATAATTTACAAACATATAAAAACTGAGATCACTGAGCCAGGTAACAGAGTGGATATATATATAAATATATTTATATACGTTTGATGCGGCTGATTGCAACCAAAATATGAGGTACACATCTACATGTTATAGCAGTCCTCTATACAAAATTTCAATGCTCTGTTGCTACTCGTTTTTGTTTTATGCGAGATACATACGTACGTAAAGACACCACGAAAAATTCTCTCCAGAATTCATTTTAAAGCAGTTTTATAATTTTTTTGGAGGAGAATAAAATTTAATTTTTAATAAGTCTTTTATTCTGTTCTTACATACAGATGTCACACAAATACATCGTTAAATTGCATTCGATAGCGATAAAAATGGATATTTTCGTTGAAATATGCTGCCTGAAACTTTTTGCAATTACAATATTTCCTTTTTACTTCGTACAAGGAAGTAAAAATCTTAAAAGGTTATTGTACATGGCATTTTTATCAGGGAATTTGTGCCCCAACAAATTTAAAAAACAGCCTTTCAAACTTCAATCAATTTTACTCCCAGTTTATTCAAAGTTTCCTTTTATTTTATTTATTATATGCACACACATGTACACATATAGAGAGAGCATAAACAAGTCATGAACATAAATTTACACCTATCTTGACTAAAAATTTCACACATTTGATACTTAACAAAGTAACTTACATCACATTTTTTAAGTTAAAAAGATATTATCTGTTTATTAATAGTAAACAGAGAACCTACCAATCAAATAAGTAAGGAAAAGGTTATTTATCAAATTGCCAATCCATGCAGTTGCAATGAGTGTCCCTAGAACACCTATGAAATACTGAACAAAAAAGATAAAAAAAAGTAAGTATAAATTTTAAAAGAAACCCTCACTATGCTTAAAGTGAACACATACACCATAAGACTAATGCATTAAAATAGAACACAAATTATACATACTTTATTGATGATTCCTATGTATGACAATTAGTAAAACTTAAGGACCAAGGGAAAAATATGGAATTTTGTGGATTATTTACACTGTCAATCACAAATTCATTTACTTTTTCATCATGTCATTTTTAGGTACAATTATATACATTTGGAATGTGAAATGCTTTGTTTGACAATTCCATTGTGAAATCGCTTACCATTTATTTAAGAAATGTGTGAAACATAATTCTGATTAAAAAAAGCTCTAAACCTGGGTCTTAAACTCTGGGTTGCCAAAAATTTTAGCAGTTTTGATATTTCTTTAATTTATTATAATAATTTTACAATTACCAAATATTTTTACACAATGTATCTGAAAATAGATAAAGATAAGACAATACAGACAAAGAAAAAAATGAAAACATTTGACACATTCTTTTTATAATATAAACGTTCATTTTCCTTGCTTTGCATGTGACACTGTCATTTTGTCTGTCACTTATTTCAAATTTTCACATTGTTCTATGTCTTAAAATTAGGAATTAAAGTTAATGACATAAAATACAATAATATATTACAGTACAAGTGAAAAATTGACAGTTTCACTCACGCATGTGTTGGATTTGCGCAATACTTCCCCACAAAAATTTTGTGAATATTATGGGGTCGCGAAAAAATCTCAGTGATAAAAAGGGGTCGTGACTGAAAAAAGTTAAGAAACCGTGCTCTAAACCATAGAGACACGAAGAAAAGACACACATTCCCTTGGTAATAATATGCATAGTTATGATGGACTGTTCACTCACTATGTCAATGCAAGCAGAAAATATTGTGTATCGAGTTTAATATTAGAAATATTAAAGAATTTAAATTAAGTATGGGCTCTTATAATTTTTACTTCTTTAGTTAACATCTCAGAACAGGAAATTTATAATGGGAAATTGGGATGAGTTAACAAGATAATCAACAACTGTGTTGGGAAAAGAATATAGGGAGATAAATTTCCTTTTGCCAGACTATTACAAGGATGATCAAAATAGAAGTTTCAACATGGAGAGGGGATTTAGAATATTCTTATCTGTACCTGTAAAAACTAGCAATTAAATACTACAGAGTGATTTTCCCTTGTGTTAAATTCTTAATTTTGGAAACTAGCATGAGGTTCTAAATTTTCTCATAAAATTGGATTTCCACTGCATGAGAAACATGTAATTTATTATCCTTGTTATTATTATTGGTTAAAGGAGGCTTAAAACGAAATTATCAGCTAAAGAAATGTTTTAATATGCTAAAGGAATCAAAAGTAACACAGGAATATTAGATTACTGGTTCTAAGGGAACTAATATTCCAAGTTTTCTTTATATTATGCAAAGATGAAGAGAGCCAGATTTTGAGCTTCTGCTGTGAATATTGAGAAGAAAAGGCGAGAGTATCTGGCCTCACAAGCCAGCAGTGGGTCTTACTACTTGCAAAGAAAAACAACTGTAACTGTGGAGAGGTTTTCTTGTGCAGCCCTATGTTCTGAGAAGGGAAGCCAGTAAAATCACTTACCAGCTAAAAATGGCTTATTTTGGACTGCAATCCAACAAGGCAGGATCTAGTATAACATCATATAATCATTGGTATAACCGGTTATCAGTGTTCATCGGTTATTCCGATTCAGTGTGTCATAGAATAAAAGTGGCTCCTACAGAATAGAAGAAAACTGTACATGTTTATCTACGATTTTTTTTTTTTTTTTTTTTTTTTTTTTTTGCATTCACCTTTTCTCTTCTTCATTTTCCATCATTAGGGGGAAAAATTTATTTTCTGTTTATTGAAATAAAATGGCTCACAAATGAAGCATCTTAGCCGCTAATATGCGACTCTCTTTGAATTTCTTGAAATCCTCAAAGGTGATACTTTTAAGAGGTGTGTCTGAAGAACACTCCTGAAAGACCTGGACTTTCATTCTAAGAGTTAATGTTATCTTTGTTAGCATTAAAAATTCATTTCTAGATTTTTGGTTATACGTAAAATTTAACAGTAATGCTAAATTAACACTATGGGTAGTAACAAATTATTTATGTACATGTTCAGAATTGGAATGTTTTTTCATATAAATAATTGAAGTGTAACACATATGCTAGGAATTTGGAATGAAAATAATTCTTAAACACATTTTCTGTAAAAAGAAGTCACTCTAACACATTTTCTTTTGTATCAGAGCCGAAATTAAATAAAAAACTTTTCTTCCTTATCTGGAGCATAAAATGGTGAATCATACTTCTCAAGAAATAGCTTTTTCCCTTCTCTGCATCGATATAAGCTTTGATCTGCACAAGTTACAGACAAGTGCACATCATTTTATTGGTCAAAGAACTATGGATGGGGTGGTAAATTCCAGTACATCCAACATTCTTTTTCCTCCCAGTACCTGTACCTACAGACTATCGACATGTCTCTGTATGCAATTGAGCTTCTAACCAAGATTTTTATATTTTGCATTCTCATTCTGCATCAGTTCATCTTTATGTTTATTATGATTGTTATGCTTATATTATATGCACATATATGAATATTTATAATAATATGGATAAACCTAAAAAATGGGTAAGCCTGCTTTTAACACAGATTGGCTTTCTAAGAAAGAGTATTCTAAAAGCCTTAAATATTGTAAAAACAAACACAAGGCCATATGTTCCTGGTGTAAAACTGAAATAAACATAGCAAGAATGGGAGAGTCTGCTTTAAAGTGTCACAAGTAAACAGTAAGTAACACAGTGTGTAAGTAAAAATTTTTATATTTAATTGTTATTATCTAGTGTGTGAAATTAAAAAATTAAAATCTGCCATGGACCAGTGAATTTTGGGCTTACATTTTCAATTCTTTTTGACAATGCATTATACAGTATAGAAGCAGGGGCCCTAAGAATGCAGATCTCCGGAAAGTTTTGAATACTGAAACTGTGCAGCTTGCAGCAAAGCAAACAGTGGAATTTTTGTCACTTTCCAATCTAGATCTTTAACAGGACTAAAAATTCTGCAGTCTACCAACCCAAGTCAAGGGTGATTCTGTTCTGGATATCTTAATGCAGTCTGTTCAAAATTAGAATGAAAAACACATCAAATTGGTAAGTCTCTTTCATTTTCCTTTATTTAGTTATTTATTCTCTGAATATTAGCAGCTGTTGAATTCAACTGCATAATATTACGTGCTGAAGAATTAAGGTGCACGTATTGCACAATAAACTTTGCGATATTTTGGAAATAAAATTAGTTCTGTTATTCAATCTGGAATTTGTTTATGAGGACTTTAAAGTTTTACAGTGCTATAATACATAATATGAGTAGAATAGTTTTCAGTTTCGTTGGCCTATTTTTAAATAAATATTTTTTTATGATCTATGTGTATATGGTGCTAATCAGGCTACAGATAATAGTTTTTTTCCCTTCTTTTTAATCAAGAGCAACATTTGTTATCTAATCAATGTTAAATTAAGATCTTCATGATATTTCATATTCTAAATATTGCAAAGTTACGGAAGATACAGAAATATTCTTAAAAATGCAGACATCAAAATGACAAAAACATTATTTAGCCGAAAAGTCTGAAAAATAGCTACAATCTACACCCTCTTTTTTTCTAGTTATGTTCGCCTATACGGAATTTTCAAGTCCCCAGAAATCAGCAATTCCTGAACATGTCAGTTAGTTAAGCTTTTACTGCATAAGGATGACTGTATGTAGAAATTTCTCATTTTCCAATTTCAGAAATGTTCCCCTTTTTGTTTATTTACACTTAAATTACTTTCCAGTATCCCTTAACAGAAAATTATCATATAACGAAAATTTAGAAAATGTTCAGAATTTTGATTTAAGTTAAATAATTTCAATATTTATAAGAATGGAAAAACAAAAATAAATGTACAATAATTTTACTTATTTCTAAGTGTGCATAAAAAATCCTGTTAGTGTTGCACCTTTTAGTTCCCCAAGTGTTATTTCTGCTTTACAAAATTAAAAAAACTTTAGATAATGTTGTAGAAGCTTCAAAAGAGGTTTTAGAAGCTGAAATGTTATGGTGTTGGAAACTGATGACAAGTCAGATCTAGCAGTGACATGGGTAAACTTTTTTTCAAGTATGTTCCCTGACAGTGTTATAAGCAAGATAATTTTATTGTAGTGAGAGAAAACTTGCTTATCTCCACCATTCCGGATTAACATGTTATAGTCAGAGTTTCAAGTATGATGAATATAAGAAGCTATCCCACTTTACCTTGTTATTTGATGAGACTTTTAATGAAACAAATCAAAAAAAGGAACTAGATTTGCATATCAGATATTAGCAGTCTGACCAAAATAATGTTATAACTCGATCTTTGACATTTATTTTCATGAGATATGCAACAGCTGCTAATATTTTTGAAAGTTTTCAAACAGGCGTTAAAAAACTATAAAAACTACTACAAGGATGGATGGGCCAGTCATAAATTGGAAGTTTTACGAAGCCCTCCAAAATGAATTGAAATAGGAATATAGCACTGAATATATATCTATTGGTAGTTGCAGCTTGCATATTTTGAGCAATGCTTCCTGTAAAGAAGCATCCTCTACAGGATGGGATATACCTTCTACTTCATGAGCACTGTACCATCTATTTCAAGATTCTCGAGCACGTCGAGCAGATTATTTTTAACCAAGAATGTGTATAATACTTTGCCATTGAAATTTTAGGTAGCTAGGGAATACATCAATATGTTTGTGTACTTTTGAATTTTGGGAAGATATGAAAGGTTATGTCAAGGTAGTTGAGAATAGAAAATATGCAAAAGTAACTTGCAAATCATACGAAATATAAAAGTCGCAATTAAAGACAAATTAATGGCAGCAAAATTCCTTTTTTTCATATGCGCGGCTGAATTAGT